ATCTACTCATTGTCATTGCCAGGAATTGTTGATCTTTCTTTAGGGGAGGGTTGGCCAAAGTTGTCGAGCTTTTTTGGGGGATTCCAGGGTTTGGGTCCACAGTTCTCTACAACCTCTGCTTGTTTGCTCGCCTGCCTCCTCCAGCAGGACTGTCAAAGCAGGACTGTCAAAATGAAGGGGGGAACGTCACAGTTTCCCCCTTCCCTAGACAGATTGGGGTAGGTGGGAGTCACGGGCAGGAGGCGTGCTGAATGTCACCCCCCTCAGTGATGACACCCGGGGCAGTCCACTCCCACTGCCCCCACTTGCTCCGCCCCTGCAACCACTGCACCCAAAGCAGGGAGCATGTTCTCCCTACAGGTGCTGGGGATTACACCTGGGACCTCTTGCACAAAAAGCAGATTGCTCTAGTATTGAGATGTGGCGCGTCCTCAGTACGCTCAGAGCACAGGGCTATATACAGGTTCTTAAGGGTCTTGCAGGGACCATCGAAAGGTTCATTTAGTCCAGCATCTATCTATCATCTCTTTATCTCTGTATATAATTTTTTAATTAAATTTTCTGTTTTACAATTTAGAATATTCATTTAAACAACCTAAAATATCAATGACTTCCCTTCTTCTCTTTCCATGGTTCATTTTGCATAACACAAATCCCTGCATATTTTACATAAACTAAGCCATTTGGTATTCCATTATTACATCCATCAAAACTTGTTTGCACTGTTGAATTTATCTTAATGTTGCCAATGTTTTCAGGTGTACATGGTTCCCCCCCACATAATCAATAAACATTTGCCAATCTCCTTTAAACGTATGTTCTTCTTGTTCTCTTATTCTACATGTTACGTCCGCAAGCTGCGCATCCTACATCAGTTTAAGTTGCCATTCTTCTTTAGTTGGGACTTCGCTCATTTCCCATTTTGGGGCTAAGAAAACATGGGCTGCAGTAGTAGCATATTTTAAACAGCTGGGAATTTCCATCTGAATTTTCCCCAAGAAAAAGGACTCTGGGTTGTTGTTTTTTGGAAAAGTGTTTTTAAAGATTTTTTTCCAATTCATTATGAATTATTTCCCAATACTCTTTTACCCTTTTACAGGTCCACCACATATGGAAGAACGTACCCTCGACCTCACTGCATCTCCAGCATTTATCTGATTCAGTCTTATTCATCTTAGCAAGCCTAGTCTGCGTTAAATACCATCTGTAAATCATTTTCAAGTAGTTATCCTTCAAGGAATAACATGCTGTAATCGTCAGATGTAACTGAAGTCTGAAGTCCAGCATCTTATGAATGGTAAGACGAAATAAGCGTAATAGAGAAACTTTTTTTGTAATAGATAGCTCAGTTGGCTAGAACATGATGCTGATAATGCCAAGGTCGCAGGTTTGATCCCCATACGGGACAGCTGCATATTCCAGCATTGCAGGGGGTTGGACTAGATGATCCACCGGGTCCCTTCCAACTCTAGAATTCTATTATTCTAAGAAGAGCCTGCTAAATCAGACCAATGGCCCTTCTGGTTCACCATCCTACTCTCACAGCAACCTTTTCCCAGTGGTTATAGACCAGGTTGACCACCTCAATCTTGTCTCTCCCCAACTCACCTTTTTTTTCTAAACCAAAAAACTCCAGGCCTTTCCTCACACTGGAATTCCCCATCCGCTTGATCGTTTGGTCACCTTTTTCTTAACCTTCTCCATTCCTACAGTGTCCTCTGATGTCCTTGAACAAGCTAGGCCCTTGTTCAAGAGTCCCCACATCTTTATATATATAATATAACTAAATACAAAAGCGAAATAAATTATGCAAAGGAAGTCACCATATGCCATTTTGCTTAATATGTGGAATACATTCCACATGCAGATTTTAGCTTACCTTGGCATTTGTATTCTTATATAAAAAAATAAAAAATAGAATTTAGCAAGGCACACACAGATGCTGCCCTGATTTCCAGTAACAGTCAAGTTCCCTCACTCTGTTTCTGAGCTGCTGCTTGTCCCCCGGACACAATTATGCAGGCAGCTCCTCAGCCGCTGGCCACAGACAGGGAGAAAATACATTCTGTGTTTCAGCTTTCCCTGACCTTGTTCAGCACATGTAATGAGAAGAGAAGAGAGGAGACTGAATGGTGGGAGAGCACCAGAGAATCGTTGGGCTAAAAGAGGCACAGGCTGCAATCCTAAACCCTCTTCCCTGGGAGCAGAATCATAGGGTCGTAGAATCGTATAATTGGAAAGAGCCCAAGGGATCATTCAGTCCAACCCCCTGGAATGCAGGAATCACAGGTAATGTAACAGATGGTGTGAGTCGGGAGTCCAACAACATCCGAACCACAGCACATAAGCATCCCCTGAATTAAAGCAACAGATAATGGATTGCCATCAATGCGACCCAAAATTTGGGGATTCTTGTGTATGCATGATTCTTTTGGGTGTTGTCCTGCACACGCACACCCCATAAAAATGACTAGGTAAAAAGGTAAAAGTAAAGGACCCCTGGACGGTTAAGTCCAGTCAAAGGCGACTATGGGGTTGCAGTGCTTGTCTGGCTTTTCAGGCCAAGAAAGCCGGTGTTTGTCCACAGACAGCTTTCCAGGTCATGTGGCCATCAGGACTAAACTGCTTCTGGCACAACGGGACACCGTGACAGAAACCAGACCACACGGAAACACCGTTTACCTTCCTGTCGCAGCGGTACCCATTTATCTACTTGCACTGGTGTGCTTTCAAACTGCTAAGTTGGCAGGAGCTGGGACAGAGCAACAGGAGCTCACTCCGTCATGCTGATTTGAACCTCCAGCCTTCTGATCGGCAAGCCCAAGAGGCTTGGTGGTTTAGACCACAGCACCACCCACATCCCTACAAAAATGAAAGGAAGCAGCACAAGAGCAGATTGTGCCCACATATTTTGGCAGGTAAGCCCCATTGAATTCAATAGGACAAACTTCTGACATGTTTAGGATTGTACCAAAAATGACTAGGTAAAAAGGACCCCTGGACGGTTAAGTCCAGTCAAAGGTGACTATGGAGTGCGGCGCTCATCTCACTTCAGGCCATGGGAGCCAGCGTTTGACCACAGAGAGTTACCCCACCCCCATGCAGAAGTGCTTCTGAATTCCCATAATGTTTCCTACTGGATTTGCTCACATAATTGGATCATAAGATACCCTCTGTTTACTACTACTACTACTAATTTATTATTTATACCCCGCCCATCTGGCTGGGTCTCCCCAGCCACCCTGGGTGGCTTCCAAGAAAGTATTAAAATACAGTGGTCTGTTAAACATTAAGAGCTTCCCTAAACAGGGCTGCTTTCAGATGTCTTTTAAAAGTCTGGTAGTTGTTCTTCTCTTCTGGTATGAGGGTGTTCCACAGGGCGGGTGCCACTACCAAGAAGGCCCTCTGCCTGGTTCCCTGTAACCTCACTTCTCGCAGTGAGGGAATCGCTAGAAGGCCCTCGGTGCTGGACCTCAGTGTCCGGGCAGAACGATGGGGGTGGAGACGCTCCTTCAGGTATACTGAACCAAGGCCATTTAGGGCTTTCAAGGTCAGCACCAACAATTTGAATTGTGCTCAGAAACGTCCTAAACGTCCTAAAATTACAGCACAGCTGTGGATGAGGGAGGGCTGGGATTCATTCACAAATTGAGAGTGACAGGAGGGAGGAAACCTGTGCCTGGACTGTACCACTTCAGACTGCTTTGGGAGATGCACATGATCTAATGCAATGTTCTGTTGCAAGCTGGGGAACAACAATTACTCTGGTCTTGTGTGGAGGCTTCCCACAGGTATCTTGTCAGCCACAGTGGGAAGCTGGTCTAGACAGATTTTGGGTCTGAACCGCCATGCAGCCCTTTAGATGTTGGACTTCCAATGCCTGTCAGCCCCAGCCAAAACAGCCAAAGGCCAGTAGTGATGGGAATTGTAGTCTGGACTGTCACAGGTTGCACATCTCTGCTTCAAACACTTCCTGGGAAGAAGCCAGAGGCAGCAGTCCAGAAAGGGAGCTGAAAGGGAAGACAATAGTGCTGATGTATCAGCAGGGGGGAAGTTCAACGGGCTTTTGAACAGTCTATCTAAATCCGGAGTCTCAGCTGGCTACAACCGTAAGAATTATGGCCCACTGAGGACCATTGACTGTGACCAGGGTGGCCATTTCTGCATCAAAAAGAGGACGACCGAGAACACAGATTTGCATAAAAATTCCACATGCTAATTTATGTGCATTTATTTAATGAATGCATGCAAATGTAGAAATAATGACTCTGATTTAAATTTTAAAACGTACGTCTCACCACACTGGGGGAGACTGAGGCCAGGTAACCCATGAGCAGTGCTTTTCTTCTGGAAAAAGAGGTGGCAGTACTCACCATGAAGTTGTTGCAGTAAGTGTCACACTTTTAACCAGTGATTTTATTCTAGGGGGGGAAATGGCTGCCGGCAGTGCGTAACCTTGAGTATCTCCAGAAAATGCACTGCCCATGAGACTGCTCAGTCTGGTGCTCACATGTGATGGTCAAATTTGAGGCCCCCCTATCCCCATCTTCATGACTCTGTTTTTAAATGGCCTCCCTCCAGACAGGCTTTCAGATAATGGACTCTCCTCTGCATCCTTCAAATAATAATACAGTAATACCTCCGCAAACATCCGCCCCCTCGACCGTCCATTTCGGTGAATGTCCGTGGCAAACCTGCAAGTACCGGAATGGGTTACTTCAGGGTTTGCCACTCGCTCATGTACAGAAGCGCTAAATCGCACTTCGCGCATGCACAGAAGGGCAAACCGCTCCATGCGCATGCACAGAGTGGCACTTTGTCGAGCGTCTCTTTCATTGAGCGTCTGGGGCTCCGGAACGGATTCTGGACTCAAAACAAGGTACCACTGTATCTCCTCTGTAGAGTAGGACACATAGTTGACCTAACTGTAACGGACACCATTTAACCCATTTTCTCTTACAAACCTTCTCCCCAAAAAAACCTTTTCTAATTGTTGAGTCTATAACAGGCATAGACAAACTCGGCCCTCCAGATGTTTTGGGACTACAACTCCCATCATCCCTGACTACTGGTCCCAAAATATCTGGAGGGCCAAGTTTGCCTGTGCCTGGTCTATAATCAGACAGGGGTGTATGGGATGTTAGGGGAGGGGTAGTATCTCTGGTGGGGGAGACATGGTGCTCCTTCTGGAGTAGTTTGTCCACCTTTGGTCACCACCCTGCACTCAGCTCTCACCTGTGGCTCCAAGATGCTGTCAGCATGCAATGGCGGCCACACCCTGGGAGATGCCTTCGACTGGCCAATTAAATCAGGTGAAAGGAGCTGATGGGCCTCAAACCCTCCATGAGTTAAGGACCTCAACCAGTGTGTGAAAACACACTCTGGCGGATTATGCTGATTAGATAGTGGGTCCAATAGCCAAGAAGGTGGTTTCTGCATGTGCTGCAGAGGGAATTGAGGGGAAGATGGCGCTCATCAGTCAGAGAAGGTAGCCCACCTGGGAGAAGGAAATCTCTGCTGCCTTGCAGGACATCTTCAGGGGAAGAAAAGGCCCAAGAGTAAACAAATGCTGAGTGGAGTCGCTAAGGCAGTTAGATGGCGCCTTCTCTGCCTCCTTCTGGCAACTCCTGCAGTTAAGCAGGTGCAAAACACATCACTCTGCTTACCTTTGGACCATATCTGTGAGACTGAGAGGGGGTCTTGTTGTCTGGGCAGCGCAGAACCTCTATACGCACTGCTCAGACTTGTGCCCTGGGGAGGTCACTTGGCTGCTGCTAACACAGTTTGACTTCACACACACTCCTCGCCCAAAGATGCACTCAGTTGTCTCTCAACAGACGGGTACCAATAACAACAAAATCAGACGTGGGAAGCTGCCCTATGCTAATTCAGATCATTGGCCCATTTAACCCAATATTGTCTATTCTACCAACACTAGCTCTCTAGAGAAGCCTTTCTCAAACTTGGGTTCCAAGATGTTGTTGGACTTTCACTCCCATCATCCCTGACTGCTGCCCCTGCTGGCTATGGATGATGGGAATTGTAGTCCAACAACATCTGGGGAGCCAAGTTTGGGGATGGCAGCTCTAGAGTCTCAAGCAGAGTCTTTCTCCATCTTGGAACTTGATATCCTTTTGGCTTGGGATTGATCCTGCAGCCTTCTGCACACAAAGGATGAACTCCTTTGGCAAACTATGGACCCTCTTCAAGTCTAGGTTACACATTTTTGCCAACCAAGCATGCAGAATGTTGATGTGTGCTTTAATCTGCCATATAAATCAGGTCCCCATGCCTAATTTTCCAACTAGCCCCACAGTCCTATCTCCAGAAATAGCAAACCCAAAATCTTCAGTTATGCTCATTGTTTCTCTGTTGTATCCTCCTGGGGAACTCCCAACAGAGATCAGTCACAAGGTTACAATTCATCTGGCATTTGCCACAGTATATCCAATTCACCCCGCATGAATTTCCTGGTCTCCATCCCTATTGTTAGCAACCAATTTCATTTTGTCAGCAGACAACTTCTCTGTGTTCCTATTTGCTCGACTTAGAAGGTTAGAACACCCTGTGGAACGCCCTCCCACCAGATGTCAAGAAATTCAGGAACTATACAACTTTTAGAAGACATCTGACAGCAGCCCTACATAGGGAAGTTTCCAATGTTTAATGTTTTATTATGTTTTTGTATATGCTGGAAGCCACCCAGAGTGGCTGGGGCAATTCAGTCAGATGCACGGGGTGCAAATAATAATAACAACAACAACAACAACAACAACAACAATAATAATAATAATAATAATAATTTTGTATTTATATCCCGCCCTCCCCAGCCGAAGCCGAGCTCAGAGCGGCTAACAACAGTAAAAATAACAGTTTACATAAAATCACAATCAATTAATTGAAATACATTCTAAAATCAATTCATTCTAAAATCAATTCAGAATCAAATTAATGGCAACAATTGGGCTAGAGTTTTAGGAGGATTACAGAAGGAGGGGGTCAGACTGTGCCTTGACCAAAGGCCTTGCGGAACAGCTCTGTCTTGTAGGCCCTGAGGAAAGGTGTCAAGTTCCACAGGGCCTTAGTCTCTTGTGACCGAGCGTTCCACCAGATCGGGGCCACAGCCGAAAAAGCCCTGGCTCTGGTTGATGCCAGCCTAACCTCCCTGTGGCCCGGGATCTCCAAGATGTTTTTATTTGAAGACCGTAAGGTCCTCCGTGGGACATACCAGGAGAGGCGGTCCCGTAGGTACGAGGGTCCTAGGCCATATAGGGCTTTAAAGGTTAAAACCAGCACCTTAAACCTGATCCTGTACTCCACTGGGAGCCAGTGCAGCTGGTATAGCACTGGGTGAATGTGATCCCATGGCGAGGACCCTGTAAGAAGTCTCGCTGTGGCATTCTGCACCCACTGGAGTTTCTGGGTCAGTCTCAAGGGCAGTCCATTATTATTATTATTATTATTATTATTATTATTATTATTATTACTATGATTATTCACACATATAGCACCAAATGGTAAATTGAACTCTGAAGAACAGAGCTAGCAACTTCTCTCTCTTCCTCCCCTGCTATTTCTCCCCTAGCATTCTAGAAGGGATGCTTTTGGGACAAGGAACCTGCCTCACCATCTGGGGCATAGCTGGTGAGCTGGTTAGTGCCATCTGCTGTACTTTGCCCAAGGCACGGCAGAAGCAGAGAGAAGAGAGGTCAAAGGAGAGGAAGGAATGAAAATGCCTCTGGGTCCAGGCACTTTTTTGAACACACTCCATATGTTCCCCTCCACCCCTAGTCCCATCCTCATTTGCAAGCAGTTGGCCTCTTGCACCATTCAGCATAGTGCCATTTGCACTAATGCAAGGACTGCTCACACCTCCGTTTTGAGACACGCTGTGCTATAAATATGGATATATCTCTACCAGCTTGCTGTGCAAGATGCTTAAAACTGTAATGGAAAAAGCTGAGCTCAGGTAGTGGGGCTGGGAGAGGCAATGGCAGAATTGGGGGATCATTTGTCCCTCCTCCAAAGGTCAAAATTTAAGACAAAGGCTCTGTCAAGAGAGAGCTATCAGCTCAGCTCTAGGTTTCAGCCGCCTTCCATTTGCAATCAATTTAAGATGATCATGGTTGAGAGCCTGAGTTATAGGGATCTGAATGCATTTTGACATGTGCCTCCCCTATTTTGCTTTAATTTAAATGTTTAATTTTGAGTTGTTTTTAGAAAAAACAGATTTGGGGTTATGTGTACATTTATGTGTATGGGGATGCTGGCTGGTTACTAAGGACATAAACTTTGGGGCTCCTTTTTAAAAATATATTTTCACTAAAGATTCCTTAGTTTACAAAAATACGTGCATTGTCTCTTTTTTCAAGTTGCATTTCCCACAGATCAGTTTCATTTGTTGTGAGACATTAGTGTTACATACAGTGTTAGGTTAGGAAGGAAAGAGGGGGAAAGAGGTGGAGTGGGGAATGGTGAGTGGGGTGGGGTCGGGTGGCAATGTTTCTGTTCTCCTACTTAGGGTATATGTGGGGTTTTGTGTTCTTTGGGGCTCCTTTTGAATATGAAATTCTTGGATATTTTTACTTGAGTGATTGGCACGTTTCATGTTCTCTTGAATGCTGTTGTATTTTAAATAAACAATTAATGGATCTTTTGAAAAAGTGTTATATTGAGGTGATATTATAATTTGCATTAGGCATTGCTACTGGAGTACTATATTTAGATTTTTTTAAACAACAACATGTGAATTGTTTTGAGCACAGATGTATTTGTGGAAAATGAGGCTATATATATTATTTGGCCATGGCTATGTAAATAAAAATAAACACATTGCTCCACCGTCCAGCTTCGAAGGTTGTGATGGGAGCTCCTTTGTGGTGGGGCTGGAAGAAGGGAAGAAGTAGAAGAAGAGTTTGGATTTGATACCTCACTTTATGAGTCTGAAAGCAGCTAACAATCTCCTTTTCCCTTCCTCCCCCACTACAAACACTCTGTGAGGTGAGTGAGGCTGAGAGACTTCAGAGAAGTGTGACTAGCCCAAGGTCACCCAGCAGCTGCATGTGGAGGAGCAGGGATGTGAACCCGGTTCACCAGATTATGAGTCCACCGCTCTTAACCACTACACCACACTGGCTCTCTGATGCAACACTGCTTTGGGAGCCAGTACTGGGGAGGAGCTGGCAGGGTTCATAAGGCAGCTTGGCCCATATCATCCTCTGTGCAGCTTCTGGCCAATCCTTCATCCCTATATATGGACTGGCTGGATGAAGAGGAGTGGTGATGGTGGGGACACACAAGGGAAGAAGGCTCAGAGCAAGGGGATTGGTGGTGGAACCATGATGGGAGGGAGAAAAGGGAGCAGACTGGGAGAAGGCAGTGTTGGGAGCTGAAGAGGTAACAGGGTTTAGTGAGCAGGAAGAGGCTATGGCAGAGAGCAGTCCAGAATCAGAGGCAGAAGCAGAGAGGAGTCAAGAGGCAGAGTGGAGGCAGGCTGGTGAAGAAGCCAGGGAGTCTCCCTCTCCTGCTGTGACCAGCTCCCCTTCCCATTTGGTCTCCCAGAACCCACAGAGGTATGAAGAGGGTGGAGCAAAGACAGACAAGGTGGAGACACCTCAGGTTGTTTGGGAGGGGGGAGGAGTCTTAGGGTGCTGTGAAAAGGTGGGGACCTTCAGTCCTTGCAACTGCCTCACTAGGACAAGACCTACTGGGGAGAGTTACTGGGCTCATTAGGCCTGAGCTGATTTGTTTCTTTGAATAAAGAATTCATTTCGCTGATGCCTTGTAGGTTATTATTTACCTGACCCTGGCACCCGCCTCTGACAATGGGATTAGCTGCTCACCATGATAGAGCTAAGTAGGATCTTTTTCTTAACCTCATCTGCAATTGGCCTGTAGAAGGGATGTTTTCGCCTACATGTTGTCGATCTAGGCAGGAGGAGTTAGAGGTGGAATCTGAACAAATCGGTTAGCTGACTTGATTACTTGGCGGGTTTTACCAGGAAAGAGAATAGGCTGGCACAGACAGTGAAAACACTGAGGCACGTTTCAGGTGAACGGTGTCTTGTAAAAAGAAGACATATGGCAACGACAATAACGACAATGTAATTCATATAAT